TTTCAGTGATTTTCTAATTTTCTATTTTAATGTTTCTTTCTTTCCTCTGTCATGATGCTTTTGTCTTGTGTGAAGCACTTTGAATTGCCTTCTTGTTGAAATGTGCGACATAAATAAACTTGCCTTGCCTTGAAAATACAATGTGTCTCAAAAGTGATAAATTATAACACAAAAGCTCCTCAAGACCTGGAGGTGGACAGCTTTGGAACGGGACAGCTTGGAGACAGTGGCTGAGACGAGGATGAGGGACAAAATCACAGCCATCCTGGACAACTCCTCTCACTGTCTCCATGATGAGCTGTGGCAGATGGGCAGCTCCTTCAGCCAATGCCTCATCCCCCCAGTGTTCAAAACTGAGAGCTTCAGGGGCTCCTTTGTGCCCACTGCCATCAAACTGAAGAACATTTTCTCACCTTATCTCAAACTTTGTCACTTCATCTGATAATTGTCAATTTAACTTTAGCTTGCCACTTACTGCACAACATGTCTGAATGTACTGTAACATGATTTGTTTGGCAGTTAATGGGTTTATTGTTCACTTACACTTACTAATTAAAAGTTTTAAATATCTTGTATTTTGATTTTGATTTTATTCCTATCTGTTCTTATGTTATATTCACTGATATGCATGCTCTTCTTCTTGTCTTTAAACTGCTGCAACACTTGAATTTCCCCTCCGGGGTTAAATAAAGGACTGTCTTATCTTATCTGTAGATAACACATAAATATCAATCATTGTATCCATTCATTTTCATATGCACATCAAAGAGGTTAAATATGTCATTAATATTTAAGTTAAGAAAAACAATTAACAAATCGTTGAGAGAGTGCCTCACCCAGTGAAGACCAGGCAGAGCAGGGTGCAGATGAGAATGAGGACCTGGTTGAACATAGCTGAGTTTGTCCTCTGGATCGCTCTGTGGACGTCATTCTACCCAGTAACAAGAACACTTTTTAACATTTAAACCTGAAAGATGAACACCACTCACATAATAAGTTTATCTATGTGCTGCAAATGATATGGCATTATGGATTTTCTCTTGGATGAGTTCTGTCACAGCAGTACAGCTGAACAGCATGAAATACAAAACAGCATGATAAACGTCAAGAGCATTTGCCCTGAATGAAAACCCTCCAGGGTGCACACAATCACAGCAGAAACAAAGCAGGAGAAAGAGGTGTTGTTGCAGCAGCGATGCAAATGACTGTGAGCATTAAGGTCTGTGTAAATCAGTGAAATGTGATGTCTTTGACACAAACTAGTTGTCGGCTGACCAACCATGGCGGGACTCACAGCGCCTGGTCTTAACAAAGTCATTAAAATGTTGATTAAAAACAGGTCATTAACAGAAACAATTAAGCTAATATGTTTGACTCACGATCATGTTCTCCAGAGCACACTTGGCCAACCAGCAGTTGAGAAACACAGGAATGAAAATGTTCCTGATTGAGGGCCAGAAGATCTACGAAAACAGTCAAACACTTACGTTAACCTTTCATGACAACCTTTACATTAAAAACTGTGCATAGGAAATACTTAATGCATTGTAGCTTAAGCACTTCACCTTTGAAAATTACAACCTGCTCCGGTTGTTTGCCCTTTTACCCTTTTTACAACCAAATGACTGCAGCTCAGGGATGCATGCCTGAGTTACTAACCATTGATTATTTTATGAATAGTTGATGGAAAAACTATCTGACATAACATTTTTTATGTCTGTTTATTTTAAAGGCTTACACTTCGGATATATAAAAGAAAAGTTCAGCTTGCAACTCTTTGAGGTTGGGATGCAGTGATTTAATGAGCTAATTGCTAATGTCAGTACGCTACTCTAACATGCTGCTTTGCTTACAATCTAAATTTCAGCTGGAAGAAAATGTCCAGTGTTTTATTATTCAATTCAATTCAATTCAATTTATTTTGTATAGCGTCAACTCATAACAAGTGTTATCTCAAAACACTTTACAAAAAGCAGGTAAAATACCTTACTCTTTGTCTGTTAACATTACAAAAGAGCAGGTAAAAAGACCTTACTCATTGTTATGTTACAAAAAGCAGATAAAAGACCTTACTTATTGTTATGTTACAAAAAGCAGATAAAAGACCTTACTTATTGTTATGTTACAAAAAGCAGGTAAAAGACCTTACTTATTGCTATATTACAAAGCTCTCTCTCTATTAGCATTATATAATTTGCTAATTTGCAGACCTTGTTTAACTGAGGTCGATTAAATGTCTTTAGCGAAGAAATAGCATTGGACAAAATCAAATAGTTTCTAAATTTCATGGCAATTCATAGAATATTTATGAGTAATTTCAATCTGGACCGTTATACCCTCCATGGTCAGGACCAAAGTAGTTAACCACTAGAAGCAGCTTTGCTAGCATGGCTGAAACATGTGCACAAATGGGAATTTTGTATTATATCAAATTTGTTTTAGTTATAAAAAATACATTAGCCACTGTAAAGCATTTTATTTTCCATGTCAGCTTCATAGGCTTGAAATATGAATGGAAGCCTGAGTGACGTCAGCGTGTGTTACTGCGGGGGGCTTTGAAAGCCTGTCGATGGTGGTCACCATGCTGGACATGCTGTCTCACCCTAACTTTCAGTAACAACAGCCTGAGAGCTGGAGCTGAGGGGCGTGTTGTAATCCTCCTGTGCCAATGGAGAGCTAATCAGACCTATCTGTTTTTTTTAACCAAGCGCTAAACATGTTCATTTCTGCTATAAAAACAGGCTTTTTTCAATGGGTGTATATGTGACTTCTGATGCTTCTGCAGCTAGCCTCAAGCGGAAACTTGACGTACTGCAGGATTTTACACTTCCGCACTGGCCTCATCTTTCAACACCAGCGGTTGCCACTTAAGCATTTTTAAGGTTTTTGGAAATAAAGTAGTAGGTAAATAAAATACAGGCTTCATTTCATCAAAATCCATCCAGTCAAATTTCATCTACAATTTCTCAGTCTGAATCATAACTGTTGGAACACTGCTGGCACAGCTGACAAACGTCAAACCACTGTGCTGTACGAATGACAGCTTATTTTGTCATCTGTCAAAAATAACAAACTCACAGACAATTCAATCTTTGTTTGCCCCTCTGCCTGTTGTCTTTAGCTCTCTTTAGATATGCATAAGGGACTATGTGTATGACGTGTATGATTCCTCTCTCCTGTATGTTTGTGGGTTGTTGACAAAACCAAACATTTAGTTTTTTCCTTATTGTAATTGACAATGTTAAACATCTATAAAAAATCATAAAAAATCATAAAAATAACAAACTAGTATCATAATATTCAACACCTCAAATATTTTTGTTGTTTCCCAGTAGGGGATAGTTGGGATAATGATTATTTCAGTATTGTCATGGGTAAAATGTTTTACCGTTATGATGAAGGGAACAGTATTGATCATCTCCAGAAGAAAAGACACCTGGAAAATCTGCTCCCAAATGTTTCCCTGAAATTAAAAACACTTTTTAACAGTAAGCACACAAAAGACAGTGACTCAGTGCAGACACGCACTTCTTAATTGTAGTCTGTCACTTCTATCGACCACTTAATCCTTCACCTCCACCAGATCCTGTAATTACCGTCTCTCCTTAATGTAGCCGTGACAAATGACTTTGGCTAATTATGCCACTTATGAACTGTCAATCTCACAGACTGCGATTGGCCAATTGTACCTGAATGTATCACAGTTATCACACCGACAAGCTTGAAGTCTTTACCTTGTAGCTTAGATACATCAGTAGCATTGTCTCCAGGAAACTAATAATGGCCACAATCACCTGTACAAACAAAACCAGAACTCATAAACACAAAGTCATAAATTCAGTGTTCTCTTTTGGTGATAAAGCGTTTGAGGTTCATGTTTAGAACACCATTACTTGTTCACCTCATACATACTTTTATGCGTTTATACAAGTTTGAAACTGTTTTGTTTTTCTCTATTCATAATCAGCTGTGACTCACTTGAATGGCCCAGACAGGAAGCTTTCTATCCACCCAGAAGATCAACCCCCTGCCACATAGAGCACATAACAGCAACTATTTTAGTAACAGCAAAAATATATGTAATTTATTTATATCTTAACCCTCGACATTGGAGAAAGGATGCAATATGGACTGTTGACACCAATGACACATAATGAGACTTCTATAAGGCAACTTTATGTCAGGTCGTATAGCTTTTAAATGGGTTGACTTAAGTAGGAGGAAAGAGCAATGACATGCTGTCCATTTAAACTGATATAAACATGGATCCTATGCAAGGTTAAGTTATAACGTTAGTTATCCCCCCCCTCTCAACTTAAATCCCATTTTCAGGTTCTTACCAGTTTATTTCTCTGTCCTGCACTGAGCCGTTCCACTGGCTGTCAAAACTGCAAAAACAATGACGATGATGAAGATGAGGAGGAGGGAGAAAAATGATTAATCAATAAGCAGTGAACTTATTTGTTCTGATGAGACAGGACAGTGGTTAGAGTCAGAAATCAGGGAGACAGAGCGAGAGAGTGTGAAAATGCGGGAAAGTAGCCACAGGTCAGATTTGAGAGAGAGGGGCGTGGTCAGACACAGCTCATTTGCATTTAAAGCTACAGACACAGAAACAGCCTGTTCTGAGCAGGGCTGAAATAGAGGGGTTTAAAGGCATGATCAAATACAGGATCAGAGTGGATTTCTAACAATAACATTCACAGACATACTTTGTGGACTTCTGAGACTTATTTCAACTTGTTATAAAAGAGTATAATATACTACCTTTAAATCATCATCATCATCTTTTGCCAATACATTGCCATTGTTTGTGTGTTGTCACTTTCTACCTTTTATCTTTTAATAATCTGTTAGCTTTTCTGGGGTTTCAAATGTTCTACGTGTGTTGACATCAAGCATCTTAATGTGACTTGACACGTATCTCAAAGTGTGAACAAACCATTTGCCACTGAGAGGGTTCTGCTGTCCTGCGATGTGGACAGGGTTGTCAGTCACCACTCTGATGATGTACAGCAGACAAGTGAGCAGCTTCAGGGAGAAGTTGAACACACGGATCCTAAGACCTAAAACCCAAAGAGCAACTCATTTTCTAAACAAATACTGCATACAGGATATTAGCAGCAAATACAATTTGAGGTTTTTTGACTCACAAGAAACATAACTGCCTTAAAACACTTTCATCTGTGTAGACTTACAGTAAGTGAAGCAGAGCGCTGTGTTTCTTTTAACCTATAAGCTATACAAGGAACGAATGTGGTTCTCCTGTGCTGTTTTGTGTTCCTAATATTTCTGGGCCTCATAACACTTGAATAATGGAGCTTACTGTCGTTGTCTTTTCCTTTAATGGACCCTTTTAAATATGGAGAAGCGACAATTTAGTAATGAATGAAAAGACAGTTTGCACTTACTTGATCTTTGGTTTTTGATGAAGAAAAGCTTCAGACGCTCCTTGAAGGTGTTTTCATTCACATAAAACTCTACCTGCACCCTAACATAAGAGAAAACAAGAGGAGAGGCAGCAAAATCAGATGATTTTTCATTTTGCGTGTTTTTTAAAAACTGAAATAACACAGTGTGATTACGGTTGTTAGTTTTATTAATGATCTGCACATGAAGGTTTGGTAATTGTCTATCTCTGATTGTGTTTCCTATTACAGGACAGGGTAACTTTGAGACATGTTGATTAGACCGAAGACACCTAAGAGTCGCTGTTACAACAGGAAGGACAATTTACATAATTAACATCAAGGTGAAAGGATAAAGTAAAAATGTGGAAATTAAATTGTTATTTAGTACTGGTGAAAATCAAACCATGGTAAAAAAAAAAAAAAAAAGGGAAAAATTATTTAATCTTTCACACAGCTTGAAAAAACATAAAAAGTATCCCCTATAGACTTTATATTATACACCATATAATCAATTTTCTCTTTTAGATAAATATATTTTATTCATTGTTGTTATTTTTTTGTTGCTGTTTGTCTCAATCTCTATCTTCTCCCTCTGTCCCATTCCACAAGCCCAACACAGTTTTTGGCAGATGGCTGTTCATCATGAGTCTGTATCTGTTATAAGGATGTGTTTCCTTGCCTCTGTAACTTTACTAAATGTTGCTTAGTGCAGTGGTCATGGTGGATTAATTTTGGGTCTTTGTAAATAATAGAATAAAAATGTCATGTCATGAGAAAACATTTGTAATTAGTTGGCGCCATACAAATAAACATTGATTGATTGAGTAAGATGAATAGATTAAAAGTTATATGTTCATTTGTGCGTTCATTTCAGAAGTTAATATAACTGTTTTCCATTTTACTTTTTGTTTGTGGTACTTTTTATTATTGAATTAAAAATGTTGCCAAAGAAAAATAAACTTGAGTATGCAATTTCTTTTTTAATTGTAACTTTTTTTAATCTTGGCTAACATTGACTTCTAAATACATGAAAATGGGTAAATGGACCTGAGCTTGTATGGCGCTTTTCTAGACTTCTGACTCAAGGTGCTTTTATATCCCTGGTCATACCAACTCATTCACACACTTATGGCAAAGACTACTATGGAAAGTATCCATTAGTATTATCAATAATCCATTCATACACATTCATACGCTTCTGATGAAGCAGAAGGAGAAACTTGGAGTTAAGTGTCTTGCCTAGGACATGTAACCTTCTGGCTGAGAGACGACCGACTCTACCACTGAGCCACAGCTGTCCCTGTCATTTCCTCACACCCTGCAAATTCTTCCTGACTACATTTTTTGTAATGAGCTTTATTACTTACAGTAAACATGACCAAATTTATGATTCTCATATCACCAAATGTTTTTTTTATTTTTTTTATATATATTATAGTCCACATGCTTTTTAAACTCTGGATACAGCAACGCATGCAGCTTATTTTTTGAGTTATTCATTAAGAGAAAATAATTGTTTCATAAACAGAAATACGTTGATGTTCATTTTAAAGACAAATCAAAGCTCAGAAGAACCAGAGTAAGTCAGAGGGAATAAGCGACAACTCCTCCAGCAGGTAGCTTGGCAACACACAGAAAAGCTGTAGACTAATAAAGTATCATCATCTTTAGAGTGCTGCCTGCAGAAGAGAGCACAAACAGAGAGGAATGAAAAAGAAGCACAAAATGGAATAGACAAATCTCAGGAAGGTTGAAAGTCGTGCTGTAGAGTAATCCAAGGTTCGGGCTCGTGGCTGGAAGGTTCACAGTGGGAAGGGAAAAGCAGTGTGGGTAGTTGGATGTAGCGACTCTGTGTTCAACAGCTATTTCAGGTCTGCTGGATCATAAAAAAAAACACGACAGAGAGGAGAAACCCTTCAGAGGAATCCTGTGTGATGAGAGCCGAACAGCTGTTGCACGTGCCTGGCAGCAGAGCAGAGATATGTCACATATGAGGGTCCTACAGATTGTTCTGTCTGTCTCGGTGTCTAACCCCCTCCACACACCCACACACACACTCACACACACATATTGTGGTGCAAGTAATGAACCATAATCAGCTCCTGTTGAGCACACAATTACCAGCAGAAGTGGTCTGACATTAGTCATACTGCCATTTCACAGAGTTTGAGGGAATAAGACGCTCAGCTCTGGGAGTAATCAGATCTTTTTTTAAAACTAATTGCGGCAGAGAAAATTCTGCAAGTCAAATAATTCTGCAGCTCTGAAGCAGTCTGGTTATATTACATCTTTTAGCCCAGAGGTGTTCATTTACAACAGAAAGAGACCTGTTGATCTGAATGTAAAAACTTCACACAAAGCCAGTGTTAGTCATGGGAAAAATATTTTAGGAGCTGTATCAACAAAGTTATAACACTTAAGCAAATAGTTATAAAAAATAAAAAAAATCAGCAAAACTTGTGAAGTTCCATACTTCCTAATTGTGAGGCGTTGCTTATATTTCTTTAACATCAAAGTAAACCAGAAAGAATTTGAAACGTGTGGTCAGTTAAAATTGGCATTGTAAAGAGAATCATTTGCTTTATCTCTAATGTGTAACTTTTTGTATTGCAGCTGAAATGATTCACTGATTGGTCGATAAGCTCATGCACAGAAACATACATCAATTAGATTGTTTTGAACTTAGTAGAGCAAAAATACTGAAAATCCCTGTTGTTTTCTGTTTCTTTGATATTTTGTATCACACTGAATATATTTTGTTGTTGTTTTTTTTTACTTCTGGATTTTTAAAAAAAAAAAAGAAAGAAAGAAAGAAAAGCGAATATATCATCTTGGGCTGTAACTTTACATTTCTCACAATTCTCTGACAATTCACTTACAGTATATTAATTTATTATGACAAAATTATTTAAAAAAAAACAGTCCTAGCCCACAGGACTTAGCCTTATCTATAAAAACTTAATTAAAATTATGATTAGATTCATAGCCTATTCGTGGCAGAAAATATGTAATTTCAATGAGTCAGCTTGGACATCGTGACACTTTGAACCTGAAGATTAGAAATGAAGAATAATGTTCGTCACAGCTCTACGTTGTATAACAGCAGATGCATAAATAAATTAAACATTAGGCTTTGAGGACAGTGCCACTATATAAATAAACACGCAGGCAGCATTATAGCCTACAAGTCAGCACAGTTTTTTGGGCGCGCGGATTAAATTTGTCAGGGCGTGCTCACGACGTTTGCTTCCTCCAGAGTTACCTGCAAATGTAAACTGTTGCATAACTGCTCAGTTGAGAAATGACTAAAAAAAAAATGTAACTTCTCCCAGTTCTATCACTATCACCGCATGCAGCTCTCGCTCTGACACTGGGACACACACATTTGAGGTAAAATGTCCCGAAGTTGGCCCTACCTCTGCCCCGTGTCACCACCAACAGGATCCGACCTCCACGTGCTCACGGACGGATTGACCCAGGTGGGAATGACGATCCTCGGATCCATTGACACCTGCGTCGTGCTCTCAGGCTTAATTCCTACAGTGTTAAGGCTTCTTGACCAACGCGCTTCCCCGCAGCTGTTGAATAGCACAGCACCAGGCTACAGTTTTCTTTTTCTTTTTTTTTTTTACGATAAAATTATTTTTTGTTGTTGAGTTTTCCAAAAATCACAAGACGAATATTATAATAACAATCTTAAAAAATAAACCAAAACCATTAGCAGTCTTTGCTTTATGCATCATTTACTTTGAGAGATGAAGTGATTATTGGAATACATTTAGAAATGTATTCAATCTCTCCCTTTCTCTCTCGTGCGCGGGCCTGTTGCCACAGCAACGTTGCTTCGACAGCGTATAACCCCTTAACCAGCAACACTACAGCTACAGGCAAGGCTGTTAGCGTTCCCCCTGATACAGTGGAGGAGTGGTCATAGGGATCAGATGCAAATAAACACAGATTTTTCCTTTAAAAAAAAAAAAAAAAGAAGGTCTGCAGCATTTTAGAATGTAGGCCTACAGGCTCATAGAAATGCTTCAACGCCTTATATAAAGCCACAATGATCTTAAGCCCATGGAGACTACATTGTTGTCTATTTTTCAGGACCTAAGTTGGACCTAGTGAAAGAATACAGAGTATGTACCCTATTTCTGTCCTGGAAAATGAAAACAAACAACATTGTAGGCGGATCTGCTCTCTCTCTCTCTCTCTCTCTCTCTCTCTCTCCCCGTCCTTCCCACCTTTTTGGTTGTCTCCTAATGTGAAAGAGTCTGAAGTAGTAATATATGGATGACCTCCTCCATGAGTCAGAGAAAATACCGGAAGAGGGCACTCCACTTGAACCCCTTCAGCCCACGCGAGCACTGAAATGCCACTCAGTGTGGCTGTTCAAGAAACACAAGGGGGCCAGAGTGACACAAAAACCCTGCCTGTACGACATGAGACATTTTATCAGAAATAGAACATTATGATGTTCATATTACATGACAAACATGAAGGACTATTTAGTCTACTAACTTCTGCAGCAAGGAAGAATATTTAACTTTTCTAGATCAGAGACACTGTCCCTACAAAAATGGCACAACCTTATAGCCTAATGGATATATTACATGTGTTCATCACTCCTCTGTTGATCATTTCTATAAAGTGTGAGACCCTTATTAATTTAGTAGGCTATACTGGCCATATATTGTCATCTTCAATACTACATGGATTTCCAAAGATCTCTTAGATTTTCCTTTTCTTAAATATAATCTTCCTAGAATCTCACCTTTTGTTCATATACCTTGCTGATGCTGCCTTCATGTGAAGCGGTGGTTGAGATAATGGGGGAATAGGTTGGATGTATGGCCCATATTTCACAGTTTGCTTTTGTTGTACGATGTCTTCTGTTCATTGTTGTGATTACTCTTCTGTATTATGTCACGTGACGTCTGAGCTAGTTTGTTCCATGTTCTATTTGTCATTTTTTAATGTACTGTAAAACTTTAATAAACATATAAAGGAATAGTTTCTAATTATATATTTTTTATACTAGTTAGTTTAGCTCAGAAGCCCTTTCTTATCTTGTGTTTTGATTAAACCTTTTATCCATTTTAAGTGAAAAGGTCACATATCATCCTCCTTTTCAACATGTTTTAAGTCTCAGAAGTCGCTACAACATGTTTGTCAAGTTTTTTTGTTAAAAATCCTCTGTGATCTTGCATATTAGGATGCTAAAAGGGTTATAAAATGTGAAAATGCAGTAAATTGGAAAACAATGACGAAAATTGCAAACATAGAACAGATTAAAGAGTCAGCCAAGGAGAATATGCTACTGCAACACTTCCAATAAAGCTTGTGTATTTTTTTTTCTCATGCATGGCCACCTTTGAGAAAGAAACCTTTGTGTGATGGATGTGACCAGTGACATTTCTGAGTGGACAGAGGTGCTGAACACAGGCGAGGAATCTAACCTCTAATAATCTAACCAGCAACATCCCTCTCCAACAACAACATTATCTAACCAACACAGAGGAAGGGTTTTTTGAGAGGGAAAAAACAACAGAAATGATAATAAGAGTCTAAATAGGAGCTGCTGAACATGTCGACAGCTTTATCAAGGAGGTTTTTGCAAGGACAGCTGGGGAAAGGTCACATTTGAGTGAAAGCATTGGCAGACTGTGTTGTTTTTCAGCGTCAAATAGATATGTCAAGTATTACAAACAGCAGCGCAGTCGAAAAGGTTTTCTGCTGCAGCTGCAATCACATCTAAAATTACATTTGATCATCACTCTCTTGAGGTCCATCTGGCAGAATCCTAGATTATAAAACTGAAAAACATATCAGTAGGAAATGCAAATATGAGGCTGAGGGATAACTAACCACACTGGATTGTTGGATTCAACAGTCTCTTTAAAACAATTGCAAGGATGTTTTCCTTTTAGAAGTTATTTTTTGACTCTTTGTCTTGGACTTCAAAAGCAGATATGATTTGACTCTTAAAGCCTGCAGTGTTTTGAGTCACAGGATGAAAACAAACGATGCAGTTCTTGGAAAAACTGCTGCTGATCGTGTTTGAAGGAGAAGAGTGCAGAGAGACGAAAGTGTTGATGGGGAAAGGTACAAGAAAGATCGTGAAAGCTCATTTTAAATTCCAATTCCTGAATTGGGTCATAGTGTGGTTGAGGAAAAACAAGTTTCAGTTGAGCATCAAACACAACAACCTAGCCTTCTGTGTTACTCCTTCTTAGCATCAACAGTATTTCAACGACTGGTTTTTTTTCAGCACCATGGACAGCACCCTAACTCTACCATGTTTCTTGCTTCAAGTCCTCTGTCAAAGCTGACAAATCGTAAGCATTAAAACACGAATTTTTGGGAGAAGAATTCAAACTGCATTTTTGTTGTGCTTGTTTTAAGAATGCCTGCTAAGACTCCCTGCAGACAGGTAAACACTCCATGCACAATAACTGCGACAAAATCCCTACCAGAAAGATCAGTCAAGTGGAATCCTATAAAAGTATTTGTCAGCAATATTGGCAGTCTGGCAGTCAGCATTCGTGATTGTGAATCTGACATGAGAGGATGACAGATAATACGTTTTTTTCCCTTAATCAAAATAAGTGTCTGAAAAAGTAATGACAGCATACTGTATGCAAACAAGTGTCATTAAAAAAGGAGGAGAGCTCTAGTTTAATAAAGCAAAATGAATAATCGATCAAATAGACTGTAAAGATGTTTACAGCTGTTTTCTTAGAGCCTTATATTTTATTTTTATGTGGCTATATATTCTATTCAGTAATTTTGAAGTCAAAGTTCTTTATTTTGTTTAGCTCATTGTTTGTATTATCTCATAATTCCTTAATTGAAAATTGATTAAAATGTCTACTTCATCACATTTCCAAGAACCCAAGGTGCTTGAATGTTCTGCTTCTGATCAAACACAAATCAATAACCTTTGCACATATCATCTAACTTTAAAGAATGCTAAAACAGTTGTAGTGGACATTAAATGAATGCAAATCGTTATTCAGTTGATAAATTTGCTTTTTCAAACTACTGGTTAATTGTTTGAAAAAGCAGCTAAATTAATAGATTAAGAAGATTAAATAAATGTGTATTATTGAAATGGCTGGATTAAAATGACTAAAAGTTCGCTAAACGTAGAGGAGAAAACGCAAAACAATAGTTTGCGAAGATGCGAAATTATGGATAACTGGTTGAAATAATTGGCTTTGAGAAATGAATCTATTGTTTACAAGTTAGCAAGAACTAAGGGATAAAAGGAAAAACATCTTATTTTAGTCAATAAACAGTTGAAACAGTAAACAAAGAGCAATGCACAAACACTTGAAATAGGTAGCTCAACGTTATGGCTAATAGTTAAAATAGTAAGCTTAAAGCTAGCATGGCGTTTAAATTGGGAAAAAGATAAATGGTTCAAATAAGATGGTAGTTTTAATGAAGGGGGTTTTGAGTTCATGTAACAGGGCTTTGGAGTTATTTGTGGCATAAAGAACTATGAACTAACAGGTTAATCAACTTATTGAATAAGATTTAATGTTCTGAAACGATCAATTATCTATAACTGGTGTTAAAATCAATTTTACGTTTTATCCACCTTTGTCCCTCGACAAAATGATCTGAGGTTTCTTTCTCTGACCATGTCAAACAGCACTGCTCTTGCTCCACCTGCCTCCTGAGAGTATTTCACGGTGATAATGCCCTGCTGCCTACCTGTCATCATTCTGAAAGTTCTGGTCCCCGAGCAGCAGGTCTCTGAAGCGAAAGCGGGGCGGCAGAGGAAGTACCTCACTCTCCTGCTGCTCCATCTTCAGGGTGGAGATGTCTAAGATAACCCCGCTGCTGTTGGTGTTGGTCGGGAGAGGAGCTTGAGAGGAGCTGAAGGAGGGCGAGGAGAAAAGTAAAGAAAAAGAAAGGAAATGAAGAGAGGTAAAGAGAGTAGTGCAAAGTGAGGGGGTTTTAAAAAGCAGGCATTGTTGAAAGAAACCAGGAGCAGGAGAGGAGAGGAAGCAAGGAATTAAAGGATGGTAGAGTGCAGATGGTGGACTATGACAGGAATGCAGAAAAAGTAAAAGTTAGAGAATATGAAAAAGAAAAAAAAAACACAGTCAAAGTATTTCAACATTTTTTAGAAAATTCTCTACACTGAGCTTTGTTGTCTACCGTGTAATCATTCTGTTTTGCTTGTTCTGTAATATGAGCTGATCAAACAGCATCCTGGAGTCACACAGACAATAGAGAGCACGACAAGCGAACATGTGTTCAAGTACAGCACAATGTTAACCAGCTGCATCACCACTCTGCCCTTCTGGGTTTATATATCTGCAGTGCGTTTACATCTGTGCCCCTTCAAACATAACTAAAGTAGAAAATCCTTCCCTTGAAGAAGCTAGAAAAGCTCATCTTTGATAGTTTTGCTTGAAAAATGACCAAAAGGATTCATGGATTTTCCAACTATTCAGCAATTCATTATCTTTTGGTTACCTTCTCAACTAACTGTTGCATACTTTCCATCATTTTTTCTTCTTTTGCTGCTTAAAGGATTCAACTAGCGATGGAAATTAGTGTACAAATTACAAACTGTAACTGTGTGTAAGTAAAATTCTAAAGAACTTGCATTTCACCTGTGTTATTTCATTTTACGATTAACCTACTTCAATACATCTCAGGCAGAAATGATGTGCACTTTGTTCTGTTACGATCATCTGACAGTTCAATATATTGGTTACAATACAGATTAAGATTTCATGGGGGGAAAAAAATCATCATAAATTAAATGAAGTTGATAAAATACAACACATTGACTGATTAGAGAAGACCGTGGTGAGGCCTGTTACACCTCACAAAAAAAGCTTGTTGACTCTTAGACAGAGAATCACTGAGCTGAGTAGATTAAACTTGCTTCAAGTTGATTAGCTACAACAGTAAAATGCCATTTAACGACTCTGTAGGTGCATTTTGGTATCGGAAGTGGTCTGGTTTCTGTTTAAGGTAAAACAGTCTGTGTGGAGAGGGAACAAGTCAGAAGGTAACATGCTTTACATTAATGCAGGAAACCCATCTTCAATCATCTAACAAGGACGTACAACATATAAGCCACATATAAACAGAGCACACATCACAATCATCATCCATAGAGGTGAGTCTTGAGTAGTGATTTGACTGAATAGAAGGGTCAGTGCAGTGTTGAATATGTGTGGGGAGTGAGTTCCAGAGGGAGGGGGCGGCTTTGGAGAAGGCTCTGTGACTTTTAAAAATATATTTTTTTTCTAATTTTAATACTTTTAGTTAGTTGTGCTGAAAAGTATCTGTTTGAGTTATGCAGGATTTTGAGGAGGGGTGGGGAGGTATTTTACTTTCGATAGTTTAATATTCATGTTCTGGGACATTAGGTTAGGGTTTGCATCTGATAACATATTCATCATCAATACATCAATAATCCTGAATTCATAAATCTCAGACTAATCTTTATCTGGATATCAAATCAAGACACACAAAAAAAAACAGGAAAAAAAGATGTGGTTGGCTTGAAGTCACAACTTTTAGTTCCATTAATACATTAAGGGCTGCAGATGTTGAGTCATCTCTTCCAGTTCCTCCCCCTCCTCTTTTAATCACAGCCTGAGCGACATGCAAGGAGAAGTGAAGGACAGCTGGATGTTACCTTTAACCAGTATAAAGTGTGTGAAGACGCACTAGTGTTATTTCAAATGGAGATCCCAGAGTGAGAGACATTGACTGATATATTTGATTTCGGCTACACCTTAATATTTTTTTTAAATCACTACAGGTATGTTCAGAGTAAAAGCTTCAGTTGCTGGAAGTTCTTTGAACATTAACTCCCTGGATAAATCATGTGTCCGTTAAATATTACTCACTACAATGAACAGATGAACTTAATGATTCTAATGAAGTTTAAGTGCTTTGGTGTGAAATCAGCTGAAGCTGGATGTGTTCTTTCAGTGTCTTTAAAACTGATTTTTTAAAAGATATAAATGAAGGGGAAAGTGAAGCAGTGCTGATGAGCCTTCAACACCTGTGTTCGTCACTCTCCCTCAGCTGTGTCACTTTGTTTGCTATGGTCCTCCATTACACTTGTCAAACTTACTGTATAATCGATGAAGGGAATATTTCTGATGCGGTTTCATGAAATCAATCAATCTAAGCTAACCAAACAGAGCTAAGGGGGAAAGTGCAGCAGGAATATCTCATAAAACAGTTTGGAGGAGGCGCAGTGCATCCCAATACACTGAAAAGAAAACTAAACAGGCTTGTGGTAGATTTTGGAGGATGAGTGTCATCTTCTCTGCAAATACAGTCTCAATTCTCAATTCCCCCAGTTAACTTCATCATTCATTTTGTACTGTATATACCCCCTTTTATTTGTATTTATCTTATCTATTCTGTTTAATGTGTATTTTGAGCTTTCTTGTCTGTGCTGCTGTAACGCCCGAATTTCCCTCTGGGGATCAATAAAGTATTATCCCATCCTATTATCCTATCCTATCTTTTGAACTTTAAATCTCGGCTTTCATATATTTGGTGACGTAAAGATGTTTCTATTGAAAAGTCGCACAAATGTTCCAAGACGTTACTACAGCAATATTTTGGTTGTTTTTGGTGTGGTAAGTTTAAGCAATACAAAATATTCATGTCATATCATACACATATGTTATACTGTAAGCTGAGGCACAGTGTGAGCAGCTGAACACACACACACACACGGTGCAGGAGGAGATCAGCAGGCAGTGTATGGAGAGATGATGCTCCGAGAAACACTCCTGGAAATCATCATTACGCACAACACCAAGAGCGAACTCATTGGAAAATATGCAAAAGTGCACACATTTCAAAGTTGTATTAAACAAATAGCATCATCTACAGTGACTGTTAGATAGGAAATACTTTAGGTAATATGATGAATAATAGTTATTTAAAGAACATGATCTCATTCCTTCTTTATCTCAACAAATGATGCGTAAAGTTTTCTTTTATTTCCTACTTGTTTCTCGTGTTCGCTCTCTTACCGTGCCTTGTGGTTCACGTTCACGGTCCCATCATCGTTCACGAATGACTGGTTCTCGTAACATTCACTGCACATTTTGGCCGGAGATCCGGCGCAGCCGTCGGACTGGAGAGCTGCGGTGGTCGGCGTTGAGTCCCCCGTGACAAACTCTTCTTCCTGGGTTAATTGCATCGGAGGGAAATCTGCCAAAAGGGAGTGGACACAGCCGGAGAGAAAGACGTGCTCAGTGTGGAAAAAGCCCCCCTCACCTACTCAGGTGCATCTTGGAGGTGGAAGAGTTTTTTTGGTTTGTTTTTTTTCTCGCGCCCACGCGGATTAGAAGCTGCGAGCAAAGTGACCGCTATGATCAACTCTTTCAACAGAGCAACTGAAAGATGCTGATTGAGTCATTTGGGTTTCAGTAAGTCTGCCAAAGTGGTCAGATTCAAGATTCAAGGAAATGTAAAGGACAGATCTGCAGCACTGAGCATATCAGTGATGAGTTTTCCTTCCTGAGGTTGGTGCACAACTAATGACATAACTGTTGAATTATCACCTAACTCTTTATGTGCAGAGAAATCAGCACCATCTAGCGGAGAATTGGCGTATCAGCAGTTCAACAAAATGAAAATATAAGGCCTTTATGGACACAGACTTCGAACTGAACTGTTTTCAACCTGTTTACAACAAAGAAACGATACATTTTTCTTAATATTTGCAAGCTGTTTCACTCATCTTAATTATGTGATTTTGTGCATATGTGCACAAAATGCATCACTTAAATGGTACTACTACTGCACACCTGTCTACCAGGTGTGACTCCAGATCTGTGGTTGCATGGGCCTCTTCTGAATGACGATTGGCCACCCCAGATGCCAACACCATATCCAACACATTGACTCTGTGATAGACTGTACAGGAGAGTGGGACATGTGTTTTTAGTTTTAGAAGTGGAGCCAATGTCAAGCTGCCTTAATCAAGCTTTTTGTTTTTCCCAAGGGGCAACCTCCAGCATCTTAATATTAAGACTATGACATGGAGGTCTACTGGGCTGTGAGCACTGGTCCCACCAGAGCACGTTTGGCCCTCATGCCACCATCATGCATTTCTGACAATTTGGTCAGAAATAAGCCCTACAGTAGCCTCCTGGAGGTCATTTAGTAGTGCTCCTCCTGCTAGACTGATGCCCTTCCACGGCCCTGTCCAGGTCTCCTGGTGTAACTGCTGGTCTCCGGGTATCTCCTCCATGCTCTCGAGATTGGGCTGGTAGACGCGGTAAACCTTCTTGAGACCGCACGCATGGATGTGCTATCCTTGAGTAGCTGGTCTACTTGTGCAACCTGATTTGGCAGCAGGTACTGCCTCATGCTACCAGTGTTAACAAGGATAAGAAGAGAGCAATTTTCTGTGGCCACCACATGCATAACCAATCCCTTTTTGGGGGTTATCTTGTTTTTGCTTCTTCATTGCACCTTGTGTATGGTCACTATTTTTGCACAAAAGCAGGTGAAATTGACTCACAATCCATTTTGCTTCCTAAATGGACAAATTAACATCCCTTAAGTTTATCTGACTATGGGTTATACTGTGACGATTAAGTGTTTTTTTCAGCAGTCTACTGTATGTAACACAAATTATGGCACACACTTAATCAACACATTGACGAACGTTTCAAGAAACAAAATGGCTTCATGGGTGATTATTTCTCACAGGACAGCAGGCTGGTACAAAATACAAAAGCTTAATGACGACCTTCTGACTCATCAAGAAAATCGAATCTGAAAATCCTATAGTTTGCGTCATCTTGTGACTGATGATGTCAGTGTTTCTCAGGGTTGTTGAGCTAAAGTAGCAGATTATTTTATTCTTTAGGGAGATGAAGCAAGCTAAAGAGTCTCACACTCTCGGACAGCAGGGCACAGAGGACACTGAGATTGACAGAGCTCTCCTGAGGGGAAAGGTTAAACATGTACAGTTGTACCAAAGAAGATGAAAGAGGAACAGCCAGAGATTGATAAATACAAAGCTGCACAAATGAAAAACTAAAAAGAAAAAGGGTTTAAAAAAAAAGTCTAACATGGCTTTTCGTCTGTGTTGTAATTGTATAATCAGGAGAAAAATACACATAATGCAAAATCATAAAAGATTTCAGAAGGAAGAAAAAACGAACCGACTGATTGAAGTCGATTAGTTATCGACCACTTGAAGAAATGCCAGAGGAAAAAATGAATATCAAACATTCAGATTGACAGTCTGGAATTTTTTTTCCCTCTGTTTATTTGATGACGCAAACTGGAGCTAATACAGAGGAGACGTGGGAGAGGTGATATGATTCACCGGGGAGACGCTGACACGAGGTTGTTTTAAGAGTTGAAGCTCATGATGGATGTTCAGGATTGAGTCAGTCACTCTGACTCAAGTGGGAAGTCTCTTTTTTTTTTCTGCTGGAGGAAAAACAACTCAAACCCTTGGAGTTTTGTCTACAGACTATAAAGTATAATGCTAAATATGAATATGTTCTGAACCAGGTTTGTCATCAAAAGATGTAATGGCAGAGATATCTCAATAGCCATCGGACGTGTTGCGATGAAATTTGCAGACATTTGTGGTTCCAAGAATTTGGTGATGCCCTCACTTCTGATGTAGCACCTCAACTGTTGTTTGTGTAACACTAATTTAAAGTTGAAATGTGTGTACAACAGCAGTGATGTGACAGAGAGGACTATATTTTTTTTTATCTAACTCAATTATCAGCATTTTGCAAAGGACTCAGCTTACTTGCAAAACAAACTCTCATAAGCTTAGTTACTATATTCAGTCAGACCTTAATCCTGCACTATGACAGTCCCCATCTGGTGTGTGGATACTCCCACACCAAGCTGACCCCTCCACTGCACTTCTTTATACAAATCCTAATTCTGAAAATGGCAAACAGCAAAAAACAGAACATCACTCTTTTCAAAGCCTTCAAGATTAGTTGTATTGGAGTTTAACTGGGGTTGGTGGATTTTTGGGTTCATTGTCATTTGCAGACTCACCTTTCTAAGTCTGAATTTCCTATTCTTCCTGTAACATGAAGCATGTGTGAAAACACTCAGAGAGTTGGTTTTCCATCAGCTAATTCTATGAAGTGTATCGCATAAAATGACAGATAACTCTGGAAAATATCAACGGGTAAGTGGATGACTTGTTTGATTTAATTACAATTGTGACTTACAGAAAATGATGACTCAGCATAACGGTGGAACTTGTTATGTTCTCTGCGCTCAAGCCCAATTTTCAGGTTTTCTTTGCTGTATTGTTAAATTGCTTTTTATTGGTAAGGCCTCCTTATTCCTACCGTATATCAATATTTAAAAAAAAAAAAAAAATCTTATTGATCTATTTGGATTTTTCTTGTATTCGAGACAACCTCACTTTTTAACCAAGGAGACACACTGACCCACTATTTTTTAAATAAGTTAAATTACATGCAACCTGTTGCAACGGTAAGAGTCTACTGAATATTAGCAATCCAATCATGTAAAAAAATATAATTTATAAGCACATGGTTGTTTTTTGTAGAAGTACTTTAACTTTGATTCTTGGAGTAAATGTCACTGATATAACATCTGTATTTTTACACATGATTTACCTATTTCTGTATTTCTTTTGGATCTTTCTATTTCAGTTTTATTTAATATTTTCACATTCAATCTTCTCTGTGATCGTTTTTTTTGTGATTTTGAAATGTTCTGTTTTAATGTTTCTTGTTCTCTTGTCTGGATGCTTTTGATGTCTCGTGTGAAACACTTTGAACGGCCTTGTGGCTGAAATATGTGAAATAGACAAACTTGACTTAACATACATTATTACATTTATAACGGGAAATTTTATACATCGTTTTTGAAAGAGCCAGAATATCAATCCCCCACTCAGTATGTTCTTCAGCGTAAGAAATGGGAGATGTCGCCCTCTAGTGGAGAAGACAAACTAAAGCTACGTTCGAACTCTAGTCATTTGAGCTTGTATGACAAACATTTTAAAATCACCTCACACGCTGGATTCACTTTTTTAAATTAATAACAATGACAAGTAGCATAGTTAAATCCAAAGTCTCCTGAAATGATCTGTTACTGCAAATATTTTTTTATTAGAAAATACAAGATTCTGTTCTGGGGTTTTTTTCCCCACAGCATTTGTGGAAAAAAAAAAAATTAACAAACACATTATTTTTCATACTACAACCTCTTTAATTACAAAAAAAAAAAAAAAAAATCACCATTTCCATTTCTTTAGCAAACAAAAATACTTTTGACACAAACCAGTGGAATCAATGTTTGAATCTTGAGAGCAGGGATTTGATTTATGAAGTGACATTTTTGGATAAGTAGTTTCATAAGAATAAAAAAAGCGATATTAGGACGCGAGTACGCCTGACCAAGAGTGTGAGGGTAAACATTTCAGAGTACATTTTTACCTTTTATTAATTGATGCTTAATATTAAGTAAAAGCCTTTGGTGTGATGATGGGAACTTTTTAACATCAATAGTTATGTGGCAGTTTTTAAACATGTATGTGTATATTATATGCAAACATCAACCATGAATGCTATCTTGTTACATAAGTGCTGCAAGAACTTTTTTGGGGATCCGAGTTCTCAAGGGAAACTCCAGTGATTTAATGTTAGCTTTATATAAAGGATACTTGACTCATTCATTAACATTGAAGTCACAGATTTCAAAATATTCAAACGTTTTGTCTCTAATTCTGGTAAGGCTCCCACCTCCTACAATTCCCACAATGCCTCTTAAGGTAAATACAGTTTATTAAAAAACTGCTCTGTAATTCTCCACGTGTTTCAAACTCAGAAACTCTGGGTTATGATGCATGCATTTTTTTTTTTGTATCTCTCCTAACTAAATTTTCAACGAGGACTGCATCATAGGGCTTATGACAGACGGAATTGGAGTGCCCTCAACATACCACTACTGTTACTGCTATATCTAAATTGTTTAGTGATTTTTTTTCTCCGTTTAACACTTTCTTTGAAACACTCCCATCTTTTCTCTGCTGACTAAAAACTGTCAAACAAAGTCTGCCTTAAAGAACATGTTCAAAAAAAGAAAGTCAGCTACTTTAACTGAACACATTTCTTATGCTGTTGAATTCTTTAAATGTAGAATTGTAATCTTCTCATTGTCAAAACTCCCCATTACTTAGAGGATATGGAGGATATGGTAGCCTGCAATGCTCGATTTACTCATCAAAAAAAGATAATTCTCACAAGTTTAATGTCCTGTCACAAAGGTCTGATAAATATTTAGAGTGTGGGGGGAAAAAAACCTAAATGAAGGGCTGGAATAAACCAAAGAGTTCTCAGGAAAAGCAAGTATAAAAAGATGAAAAACGTATTTGTGTGTAAACACTCAAGTCGATGTCCCATCCTTTTATGAGCTTGTGTTTTTTAGTAGTGAAGTCAAGTATGTGCTGTTGTCAACATTAGGAGATGCATCTTTGTAAACATCGCATTCAGATTTTTGTAAGAACAAAAACTCTGCTCACATCACATTACGTATGCATATGTTAACCCAGATGATTCAGGCACTTACCTGTTACTTAAGCATTAACCAGAAACCAAAGTGTGTGTGTCAGTCTGTGTGTGTATTCTCCTCATTCTGCTCCCTCTGTGCTGACTGAGGCCACAGCTGAAATATAGTACGGCCCTTCTCTCAGATACGTTTTCAGTCGGATGTAATGCTGGCTGCCCAGAATCTCCGCTGCTGTCGACGAACACACGAGCGCCCCCACCAGTTCAAACTTTGCGTCTTTGGCCTCCTTCGTCTTACCCGCTGAACGATCCAACACAAATTCCATGAAGCTGGGAGAGCTGATCATTGACCTCTGACCCCACGGCTGAGTAGCAATGGCCTGGAAACAAACACACAGATATCCACGAAATGAAAAAAAAACTGAAGATGTAGCTTTTACTGAAGCATTAAACATCACATTGTGCTAACAATACAAATAACAAGCAAAAAGTCTCAAATAGTTATAGCACTGCTGTTAATTAACAGGTGACAAAACAATCAGTAACGCAGATAAATGATGGTCGTTAGTAACAGTCGAGCACTCACAGTAAATATCCGTAAAGCCCCACAATGCAGCTCTGGAAACGGCTGAGTGCTGATGTTGCGTATCATGTCAATGGGCTGGTTGGACAGAAGCTTGAACCAGGACTCCGTCAGGGCCAAAAGGTCTTCATTCTGCTGCTCTGGCTGTGATAAAACATTCAGAAATTATAGTCCGATCATGTGCATTTCCCTGTAGATAGAATTTAAAAGACATACAGATGTCAAGTTTTTTTTTTTTTCCCCAATGGGTACATAAATACCTGAAGGGTGAGGAGTTGCGATATGGCGTCCAAGCTGCGCACTCTGAGCTCCGTGGCTCCAGAGCTGGCAAGCTGGCTCATTCTTAACAACACAGATTTAAACTTTTGTCCTAAAGACACACAAAGAAGCCAAGGTATGAGCTTGAGTTATAAGACATATACACAATCTTTACGGGCGCAAGGACATTTATTTATCACTGAAAGAAACTTTGTATGTATTAAGAAACATTGACAATAAATTGAAAATACATCTATAAGTAAAACAGGCATTTACTAAAGGAGAGCTTTAAAAAAAATGAGCTCACCTGTTTTCTGAAGGACCTGCTTCCCCTCCACAGTAGATCCGAGTAAACCCAGAGTGTCCAGAGCGACGCCGATCATCGCAGGATCCGGATCCAGAGCCATCTCAAAGACTTTGTTCTGGAAGGCCGGGTACGTTTCACAAACCTGCTGAGGGCTGTCCATGATGGCCAAGTTTCCAAAGAACTTCACCAAACCTGCACAATTATCACGAGTGTCAGGGACTGAAAAACGCAGCACTGAATGGCACTCTGGTTATGATGATGTTGATCAGAGGAGAATTTTTTTTTTTAAAACAACTTCACTTAAGTTCTTCACAAAATCTCACTTAAGTTGAACATTAAGACAGAACAACAATAAACTATATCCTTTGAGCAGGTTTTCTACTCAGACTCACCAGGAAGGTAGAGGGAGGACAAGGGGTCTGTATCTGCTCCTCTGATCATATTGGAGATCTTGTCCATTATACCCTGTTGGGCCAAATATTGCCGGCCATGCTGACTATTGGCCAGAGTGGTCACCATCTCAATGGCTGTGGCTCTGGAGAAAGAGAAACGACAGTTTGAAATATAAAGCAAAAGAGAAGGCTGTTTAAACTAATGTGGTATTTTCCTCTTTAGGATTTGTTGTATTACCTGACCAATACATCGTCTCCTGTCAGCTCTCCAAGCAGCTGAGAGATGAAGCTGCTGTTGGCGCAGTAACCGAGGGAAATGGGAGAAACAGACGAGATTTCCACCACCAGCTGCAAGAAGCAAAAAAAGCAAAAAAAAAAAGCCTTGAAGTAGACACACGAGAGACATTTGAATTTGGCATTGGATCTCTCTTTCCATCCCAGCAACCGGTTACAATTATCAACCATGAGCGGTGTTGTGCAACTTTCTTTCTTATGAATGAAAGGTGATTGTATGAAAAGAAAAAAAACACAAAAAAAGAGGTAATACGCACATTCATGTAATAGTCGTTCATCTGCCGTCAAGTACATGATTACAAGCTCGCCTGCAATGTTATTTTATTCCGTTTTTTTTTATTACACCCGTCAGAGAATTGTTCAATATGTCACTCTATAGAAACAGAGAATTTGTGTAACAGCAAATAAGACCGGTAGAACAAAGGTCAGATCGGGGAAAACAAAAATCAGACATCTATTTGATTTGTGAACACGCATCAGTAACATCTAAGCAGGGAAAAAAAAAGACATGTTTGCTGCGTTTATTCTGCAGACTGAATGCAGCCTGAATGCCCACAGTCTGGCATGACTCCATGTAAGGATTAGTCATCTTTCTCACTGATTCCATCCAAACAAAACGTCACTCAAGAAATACACACAAAGTGTCGATGTACTTGAGCGCTCACAGTGTAACGTACCTCATATATTCTGTATCTGATGATGTCACTTTTGGTCATCACGTCCTTCATAACTTTCAGCAGGTCGCTCTGGAACAGTTTGTCTAACCCGGGCTTGGAGTGGCTCAGTTTGGACAACGACTGGATGGCCTAAAACAAACACACACACACACACACACACACACACACACACATAAGGAACACTGCAAACCCCCACCGTTGACTAACTTCCAACATAACGCAGGACATCTCCAAGCTTCAGTCGTTACCTGCTTCGCCACAGCCATCTTCTCCTCCCCAATGCAGTTGATCACAGCGCCGAGAATGTCATGGTTGTTGAGGACTTCGGTGGCAGCGTCAGGGTGCTCCACTACTCTCCCAATCTGACAAGAGGAAATCAACCATGTCTGGTCAACATCAGTGGCAGGAAGAGACTTGTGTGAGTGTGTGTGTGTGTGTGTGTGTGTGTACTGTGTGCAACTAGCTGACCTGTGACAAGGCCAGTATCTTGACAGTTTCATTAGGATGGGTCAGACCCCCCCGCAGCTCCACTCTGTAGTTCTGAGCCAGAGTCAAAGGGCTGAGGGCCAATAAGATGCGTTCAAGGATGTCCACACACAGCTCCACCTGCTCCCTGTGAACACAGATATACAGTCTAAACCTGCAACACGTTTTTAATGGCTCTGAGATATGAATATTTTTTTTTATTGTTTCACACCCATACTGGGACTGGATATTCACCAAAAACATATTGACATAAGAATGACTCAGCAGTTTGTAAGACAAGGGTGAACAATCATGGTGTGCCAAACCAACCTGTTGTCTGAGTTTAACAGGGAGAATATCACATTGAAACGCTGTCCGCTCACTGAGTCCCTCAAAGCGCTGATAGGTATCGCTATCAAGGCTGTTTTTAAACTCTGCAGCTCCTCAATTGGATCTTCAACGTCGGAGATTTCCTCCAGTAAGCTCTCAATGGTGGCAGCCATGACTCTCAATGTTTTGGGGGAAAAACTACCGACGAAAAAAAAAAGTCCGCCTACTTCTTCCTCTCCTTCTTTTCTGCGGTCGTAATGTAACGTTGTCGAGCATTACCGACACCTGCTGGACTGAGTGGAACACTTCTTCTTCTTCCTCTTCTTTGGATTTTATTGGCAGCTGGCATCCAAAAAGTTGCATAACTGCCACCTGCTGGATTTAATTATCACTCGCATTCCTAAATCCTCCTCAATAAAACCTGTTCTCAAGAGATATTTAAACAAAGCATCTTCGGCCTCGCCCTCTCTCCCCACACTCCAAAATCTCTTCTCACGAGTCCCTTCTCTCTCCATTTCTGACATCATGTTATGTCTATGTGCTACATACTTTCTACATTTAATAACTACATGTTCAACTGTTTCTGCTGGATTGCGTATCTCACAAAGACCGGATGAATGTTTTCCACTGATATGTAGAGTGCTGTTTAAATTACTGTGACCAATTCTTAACCTGGACATTACGACCTCCTCTATTCTGTTGCTCCCTCTGTATTTTACTTTATCTGTTTCCCTCTGAATTGAGTATAAATGTCTTCCTTTTGTCTCTTCGAGTATTCTTTTAACGTGGGGAACTCATATTTTACAGTTTTCTAAAACCTCTAAACCACTTCCTTAAATTGTACAATTAAGTTGTGTCATGGAGTACACAAATATTAACCACAAGTGCAAAATTAGATCCCTAGTTAAACAAAATGCAATTTAGGTTTGGCTTTGCTTTCAGACTTTGCTCGTACTGTAGCTGAGTGGAAACATGTTTAATGGGAATAAAAATACAAAGATTGTCTATTATTATTTTTTATTTTTGTGTCACAAAACAGGGAAATACATCACTGCTACTTGTTGAAAATGTGGTAGACATATTATAGCCTATATTTAAATTTGATTCCTACAAGAAATTGCAATGTACAATTGTTAATTAAAAAAAACACTAGCAACCCATCTGTTTTCATATGAGAAGTCACATGTCAACAACAGTAAAGACCTTCATGGTTAAGTCCTTTAAATATTGCTTGATTAACTAAGTGACTTTAACCTGAACTTGATGAAGTAATGTTTATACTAAAGCCAAATATAGGGGGAAGGAAAGAAATGTGGATTTAAAGTCTCTCCCTGATCTCAGATTCACCTTGCTTCACAGACTAAAAGTTTGAAACTTGGCTGACTTCCATTGTGTCTGTAAAGCTTTCCGTCTCTCCTCATCAGGCCACAGCTCAGATAATAGGAACTGTATACATTTTGGCATGTGAGCATTCACAGCGGCACTTCAACAAGCATACCTTTGTATCCATGGGGTTTAAGTGCACTAAGCTGCTTCTGAAATGTGACGCTTTTATTTCATGCAAGCTATTTGAACACACTTTTACACATTAGGTTTTACAAGTTTGTGTTTAAACGAAACTGACGTACATAAACATACTGGAGGACATTTCTAAATCACTGTAGCAGCAGGGTAAATGGTTAAACACCGGAGGTCAGTAGAAACAACATTTTCAGACGGTGTTAAAGGACTCTTTTAAACTGTGTAACAGAGCTACAAATTTGATGGTCTGAATAGATTTTTTTAACGTGTAAAGTAAGACCAAAGAATAGCTTAGAAGTACACTGTAAAAAAAACAAAAACTAGTTGCTATAACTTTAAAAAGTTAGTGCCCGGGCTGCCTTAAAATTTTAAGTTAACTGAACTTAAAAAGATAAGTTGAGATAAATTTGTGATTATTCCAAAGAAATACAATTAAGTCAGCTGTACTTAAATCTTAAAGTTAACAAAACTTTAAATCACAATTCAGTTCCTGTAAAATTATCTAGTTAAGGCAAAATGGCCTATCAATTTCTTCTGACTTGAAATCAACGTTATTATATGACATTATTATAATAAAAATAACAAATGAATGAATAAGTAATGTTCCACAACGTCATCATTCGCATCATCATTATTATCGCCACCATCATCATCACTACCAGCAACTTATTAATTAACAATTAATAATAATTAAATAATAATTAATAATTAAACATATTAAAAATGTTAGGTTATGACTTTTTGTTTTTACAGTGTAGAGTTGCTTCATATTTCAATAGACAAAGTTTTGTCTAAAAAAAGTATCTAACAGTCAAATTTTCAGAACAAAACTTCTGAGACTTCTGTCCAACTTTCTGAGCCGGCAAATGTCTGTAAATTTAAAACATCCATGTTACGGAATTGACTGTTAACAGGAAAGCTAGATAGGGACATTATTGTAATCAATTTCCATTGTCAAGCATATCTGAGTTGTGTATTTATTTTGTAAATACATACATTTCATACAGTTTAAATTTGATGCCAAACACAATCCATAGTCACTCTCCAACTCAAAATTGCAAGTTTCTTACTGAACTTGGATGTCTGAGCTCTGTTGTGCACAGTTAGACTCAAACAGCTTGTTTTCACACATTCATCTTAAAGGAGGCAAATTTCAAGCATGATTGTCAAGCCCATCATGGTCCAGTTTGTATCCTGAAAAGAAAGCAACTTGAACCTCCAGGCTAATTCACTAAGAGTTAGATGGACACATCTTTTGTTTATGGCAGTAAACAGTCTTTGCATAAAAAACGTTGAAAACCAAAACATTACACATTCATAGATTCTTTGGAAGATTAGCGGAAATAATTTTTAAAAGTTTTTTGAAGTCAGTTGACCTTTTCAAGGAAGAACCTTAATCAGTCAAAAATTACAATTAAAAGTAAAGCATTTCTTGTGGTGTAAACAAATTGTTCCTTCTCAACATCATTCACTTTGTATGCATGATGCAGGACACACTCCTCTTGATGAAGCATGTGACAGGGTCGGGGTGCAGAGTTACATGCTGCTAGAGTTTCATGAAAGTGGAAACCTTGTCTGTCAGCACATATTGTTGAAGGAGAGATTTCAGAGGGATCACAATCACCAAATAAATGCAAAGAAACAACAAGGCTGTTAAGGCAGGTGTCATGCAGGTACTGTGTCGATTCTTACCAAGTCGTACAATTTTGCCCAAGTTCTATTGGCTACATTTATTGTGTTTCATGCTCTTTTTTCTGTCTCATGCTCCAGTTCTCTCTGTGCAAGCTGCGTACCCACCAGTGGTGTTTCCTCCTCTTCAACGTGCTCCTCTTCCATGCCTTGTTGTTTGGCGCAGACCTCGTCGAGGAGTACCTCCTGCAGCCCACACCGGGGGTCTACACTGACGGCATGGTGGTTGATGTAAGAGAGAAAGCAAGGAAACTAGACCTGAGCAACGTCAAAGAGAACATATCGCGGGCCTACCCTATTGCTAACCCTGATGCCTGTAGGAACTCCGATCTCTTCCTCCTCGCCCTAGTCTTCAGTTCGACAACTAACAGCACACAAAGAGATGCAGTCAGAAGGACATGGGCCAATCAAACAGTCGTCCAAGGCCTACCGGCACGGATTCTCTTCTTCTTAGGATCAACTCGGACGGTCGCTGCACAAGACTCCCTTCTGACAGAATCTGAACGCTATGGAGACATGGTGCAAGGTCAGGCTGTTTCCGACTCGTCCCGCCGTGGCCCAACAGAAAAAACGGTTCTTGCTCTCCGTTGGGTGATTGCTTTCTGTCCCATGGCGCGCTTTGTTCTGCTTACAAAAGACTCGGTCTTCGTCAATCTCCCTGCAATTGGAGGTTACCTTCTCGGGTTGCACAGGCACCCTGAAGATCTCTACCTTGGTAGGGTGCTCCAGAGAGACTCTCCTGACAGGGACCCCAACAGTCCTGGCTATCTCCCCCCAGCTTTTTACCCTGACAAATACCTGCCCGAATACTGTGACGACACAGCTTATGTTCTATCCCAAGATGTGGTTAGAAAAGTGTACGTAGCATCCACAGCAGTCCGTGCGCCTGTACCAACTGATGTTTTTGTGGGTCTTTGTGCCAGGAAAGCTGGAGTGGCACCAACCCACAGTGCCAGGTTCTCTGGAGGGAAACATATCCGCTACAACGCATGCTGCTACCGCTACCTGTTCAGCTCAGCAGGGATGGGAAGCCAAGAACTAGATAGAGTTTGGGCAGACCTGAGACAGGAGGGTGGGCGATGCTCACTTTTAAAGACCTACTATGGTCTCGTGACCTGCAAGGCCCTAACATACCTGGACAAACTGTCCCTTTTCAACTCCTAAGGCCAAGCTGAATGGCATGGTTAATGATGAAGGATGTGTGATTAGTTCAGAGCAGACAGAGACTGACAGAAAGTAGGGTTGAAATAAGTTTGTTGTCAATTTGGTTAGTAGGAAAATCTGTATTAAATTCTAAGTTCAGAAGCATTCAAGCACGAACATTTATTAAGATTTTTATAGAAATTATATATATTTTAGGAATATAAGAAAACAGTCCTCATTGTAACTTATTGTTGAGGATTTAGACATGTGAATAGGCTATCCTGCTCTTTTTCAAATATGTAATATATGTGTGTGTGCTTATGTGAATTTACAATTAAGATTGTTGTATAGCTGTAGTGTTTATTTTGTTCTTCCAAAGTATATTTATCTTGTTGTCCTTTTATTTAGATTTTCAAAATAAAGATATTAATCAATGTTAATGCTAATTCAACAAAGAATGGGAGCTCCATTAGAGGACGCATTTTTTTCTTTTTTCCTTAAGCGTATTTTGCATTACATTGTGCAAATCCAATAAAATCTTTCTGTTAGTTGTGGTGCACAGAGTTACATGTGGAGGTGATTGACATGATCACTGAGAGGTAAATGTTAAACCAGTGCGAAAATAGGCCCATTTATTTCATGTCACAGTCGAACTCTGAAGCTATTCTGCTAGGGAAAGTTATGGGATAAAACAATCTATTTAAATGGATACATCAGTCTGGCTTATATTCATCAAACAATAAAAACAACAAGAGGAATAGAATAGAATAGAATAGAATAGAATAGAATAGAATTACTTTATTGATCCCAAACTGGGAAATTGTGGTGTTACAGCAGCAGGTTATCCAAACATGCAAAAAACACAATATTAGCAAATCTAAACACAATATAATACTAAATACAAAGTAAATAAGCACTAAAAATATCAAAACTAAGAATGGGAATATATACAACCAGGATTTAACTAAGCATTACGAGTGTTAAATAGGAAGATTAAATATGAAAAGATTAAATGTAAATGTGCAAAAACAGAGTTGTAAATGGACAGTATTGACATAAGTTAAAGTGCATGAGTGTAGACATATTATAAGCAGAAACTATACAATATAATGGCGAGTAGACAGCCAAATGAAGTGAACATGAGTGCAGGGATAATTTGTATTTTTAACATGTGCAGAACAGATTACAGTATGGAGAGACAGATATTATCATGATGACAGTTCTCTGCTCGCATGAGGTGAGCTGTTGTACAGAGTTATGGCCTTCGGTAAGAGAGATTGTATCTGTCCTTGTGACAGCGGAGTTGTATCAGTCTGTTGGAGAAGCTGCTCCGCTGTTTGTCCAGTAGGGTGTACAGAAGGTGATCAGGATTATCCATAATGGATAACAGTTTGTTAAGAGTCCTCCTCTCTGTCACCACTACAAAAGAGTCCAGCTTGCAGCCTATCACAGAGCAGGCCTTCTTAATGAGTTTCACTGTGCCAGGGGAGAAAAAAGTGCATAAAGTAAAAAATGGGCCTCAGTTACAGTTATCAACGTTCAATAATGTGACAGTATTAGATTAACTAATAATAATAGCCCAATAAAGTGGTGGAAGTCTGGTCATTATTTAATCATTTTGTAGGCTATGTTGACATGATTGCACAGACTGCTTTCTTGTTTTAAATGGTGTATTTATATTTGTAAATAGGTGGCGTTAAATTAAATATTTGACTTATTATCTGGCCATTTCATTATAATGATATGGTATTTATCAAAAAATACAAAAACTTTAAACAAACTTTTTTTCTAAATAATATTTTTGAGAGACGCAATTGACAGTGACGATTACCTTTTACCTTTTTTCTGCTAGTTTGATTGGTGGGTTATATCGTACAAAGTTTGATTGAATGGTAAGATAGAAAGTAAACCTTTCTCTAACAGTTAGCCTACTAGTCTTGCCTGCATATGACGAGTTGACATAAAACAAAACAAGTTTGTGTTAAGAGAGCAGTAGCCTAAAGAGCTCTTTAAATATTATTGCAGCAAAAGGGGGAGAGAAAATGTAACCTGAAGAGGGTAGAGAAGAAGTGGACTGTCGGGCGGAGCTGCATTCACAGTCACACTGTAAGTAATGATATGGACCTATGGGTCTGAAATAAAGTATAAAGTATTAGCAGTTGTAAGCTGAATGTTTTTAGTTACGGTACTTGTTAAGTGCTGTGTGTGCCTTTCATGTGAGCTAAAGCAAGCTGGAGTTGTGTGTTGCTGTTTCTACAGTCAGGTTGGATGACTTTTCTTCACCATATTAAACTTCAACAAGTGCTACAGTAGTTTCGACTTTAACCTGGCGCACTTTTAAACCCACAGGTGCAAGTTGTGGTGGCCTTGTAATGGGTTGTGTATTTCTGTAAGCACTTGTTTTTTTACAAGAAATATACGGAATTCATTGTGCTTGCATTGTACATTTAATTTCTCGCATTTCAACCTCCGACTGCTAAATTATTCACCAAATATGAGTGTTTTTCCCTGTTATAAAAGACGTACAAGTCTGGTTCATTTTAAATGTGGACTTACAGACAGGTGAGTCAGGGAGATGTCAATAAAGCAGGCCTACGGGGTCTACACGCCCACACAGTTCTGAGCAGGGATCTAATCAGGCAAGCATAATTGAGAACAGCTGTGTGGGGGACATTTGGTGAGAATCTCTTTTAAAACAAGAACAAAAAAGTGGTAAGATACAGTAGCCTATTTATTCTGACATCTAGGTCCTGTTGAGTTGAAGCTTGTCCCTGAGAAATTATTCACAAGTAATAAGTTGGTGTATTGTAAAATCAAGTATTTCATTATTGTATAAGCTAGAAACTACTATTTACAATTTGTATGTAAACTTGAATTGAGTTTACTATAGACAGAGTGTGATTTATTATAGACATATCGACCTGTTTTCAAGAATTCTTTTCATTTGTCACCCCAATTCCAGAGTAAGATCCGGTTCACTGAACATGCCATACCAAGAGGGACATCCAGTGCCCAACATGAGGTATAGCAACTAGAAACACGTCTCCCTAAGAGTATTTTGTGTTTAGCCTGTAAGGAAAACTTACATAATGCTTTGCAGTCTCTCTGAACATGTGACAGGATGGTCTCTTAAATTCTTCCATTAAAAACTGGTATTTAGGAATTAAATCCATAAATCCCACTAGACTTCACACCAAACAGATACAATTCAATTAACAGGCAGCAGTTAAAAGAATTACAACAAGTGTTTCCAGACTTTTCATTTCTCGCAATAAACTGTGGTGTTATTTATAATGGGTTTAGCTTAACTTAAATGTGTGAGCATAGAAACCCACAGGACAAAAGTCAGTCTCACTTCCATGTTAGAGTCGGAGCAATTTCCTTGACATTATTCTCAACGTACTTCTTCGCTCCCTACATTCCTGAAAAGGGAAGTTAAGCCTTTGTCCCAACACCACGAAGCTGTTTGAACAAAATGTTTGGGTGCTCTACAGATCTCACTCTTCTGTTTTATGGCCGGTGTTTCACACCGCAACTCTCTACTCCACCTTGGCCAGGTTCCACTGTGTTTGCAAAGATCTCCTTGGCTTCCTGTCTCACCACATTAGCCTGAGGTATCCAAAGAATAACAACTCAGCATGTCTACAATCACTCTGGCCGCTGACCAATCATAGCAACAATTTGACTGGCATACCATCAGTCTAAACCCAGATCGCTCTCCAGGATTAATCTGTATTAATAAACGTCAACACCTTACATCCCTGGACTCAGCACCACATGATACCCACCCTGCATCTCAGTTCTCTTAAAAACTGGCTTTTTTTTAAACCGCCTACTACATTCTACTACTGTCAAAAAAATCAATGAAATAGATAGTAGGCCTATCACTCCAGAGTTTTATCCTATTCTTTTGTGTGTTCTAATTCAACATCCAACAAAAAATTGATTCATTTTAGGTCTTAAAATCAAAAGATCACAAACAACGCCTTCATTATCATAACATAAATATTTTCTTCTCAGTTTCGGTCAGACTATTTTCCTACTTTATTTTGATAAGAATTAAGGTCTGAAAGAGTGGGATTCTGTCAGTATGAAACAGGTTTTACATTCATCGTCCTGTTTATAAAGGTTAGTAGAGCCCACTTCTAGTTATATATAAAACTACAGATTGCTTAGCTTAGAATTGCATATGACTGAGGGGAAGCAACTAGTTTTGCTTTGTCTAGGGCAACCACTGGAGACTCCAAGTCACTGTACCCAGGTTAAATAGCCCAGCACTGAGTCCCCTAAATTCTTTTAATTAGTTTTTCCACTAGTTTTTAATGGATGAAACAAACAAGATGCAAGATACTTAGTGATAAGCTAAGTCTCCTGCCTCCTGCTAAACATTTAAAACTCAGATAGGAGAGTGGTGCCTTGTTTTAATCATGGCATACTAGCATAAGCATATTTTCAAGAATGTTAAACTGTTCCGTTTGGGTACCGTGAAAGCTAGATCCAACTTGTGGCCTTATGTCCACACTTACAGAAGGAACATACTTTTCTTAAGACCAAAACCGCATGCTGGGTTTTTTTTCTTCTTCTTGCTACTGTGGAACTGAAAAAGTTGCTAAAAGTGTTTGTGAGTTATTCTTTATTCAGAATTATCAACAAGGCTAATATACTGGCTCAAAATCTCTGTTGAGGTCTGGAACGGTTTTCCAGGAGAAAGTGTAACAGGGTCTGCACGGCGGGAAAGCCTTCAGACCAACCAAACCACATGTGCACTTTGAATGCACGCACACACACTCATACAGTAACACAGCCTGCTGAGATTGTTAATGTGAGGTCGAGGGGTCGGTAAACTGAATGTGGGTGGTGCAGTGACCTAATGAATGCTTCCCCTCAGAGAGATGCAGCTCTGCAGAGGAGGATTCATCAAACATTGGTTTATTTAGAATGTTTACACTGAAGGAACAAGTCCGGGGCTCTAGAGCCACAGCCACTGATTTGAGGGGAGGGTTATAGGGTCTCAACTGATG